GTTGTCCTTACCGGGGAGTAGCGCACTTCACCACCACACCATCCGGGCCTTCGTTTTGCCTGTCTCTCAGCTAGTTCTATAAAAAGAAAAGGCAGTAAATAAAAGGGTTAAGATATTTAGTATACTTTGTGGAGAAGTAAAAGATATCTTTCTGAGCATCCTAGTGTTTTAGAAATTCCACCTAATCAATCCATATTTTCTGTCCTGTGTAGGTTTACTTCTAGGATGGAGAGTGACAAAGTGCTTCTGGAAGACGGTGAGTTCAGAGTGTTTTTGTTACACTCCTTTTTTCATTTCAATGATGTACGTTTGTTCAAAATTTAGCAAGCGGTTTGCATATTAAGAAACCATATTGAAAGTAGTCTAAACTTGAGCCTTTGTTAACGTTAAAGTCATGGTGTAAATAGATTTTCAGCTTGGAAATGTAATGGATGGTTGATTCCTCCCAACGGTTTACTGCCTCATCGTGGCTGGTATGTGTTCTTGGGTGTCGGGCTGCGATGTACAACGGGGGAACCATCTCCCAGCTGGCTTTCTCAAGCAGAGATTCTCCCGAGCTGAGAAGGAGTTCGGAGTTTCCATCAGGTTTCCCTGCTAAGAGTAAACCAATACCAGGATCCATCACCGTCCTTGTATCAAACTAATCGTTTGGTGGCAAATCTATCTCTGATCCAACAAGGGCGGTGATTCCCTGTGGTGGTGATGACCCGGGGCAGATTACTTAAACTGGCCTGGGGACTCCAGGGAACCATAATAGTTACACCAGCAGTACTCCGAAAAAATGTAAATTCTGCTAGGTTCGCACAACCAATGAGGATGGGCCATCCAAGTATCCAAGTATGTAATGCATGATTAGAATCCGTTCATTTTCGCACTCTCTTCAGTATGTTCTTTAGCTCACGGTCTGTTTTCTTCCATCTTAATGTTTCTATTTTCAGATTACCGAGCTTATGGCTACTATAGCACTCGATAAGTCGACATTTGTTCAGTCTACACTTACTGTTATTGAGTATGCTATTGTGAAGACACCACTTATGACTCTTATCATAACCAGCTTTTTGTTCAGGTATACCTATCAGTCTTACGTAGATTGGGTTCCGCATGCTTATCGATTGTTTCAGTTTTTCGAGAATATGTCACGACTTTCCATTCAATTCTGTGGTTTATTTCTTCCACCCGTAAGTTTACACCTTTTTTTCTACTGCTTTGCTATTTCCTTACACAAAATGGATGAAACGTCTTTTTCACAATGTGTTATGACCTTCTTTGGTATGAGGAATAGCTACCTTCACATATAACCACAATAATGTCGAGATGTTTGCAAAACTCTGAGGTCGGTCTGAGGTTGAACTAGAGGTGCCTGCGGTGGGAACGAACGCGCTATTGTCCTTTCCTGGGAATAACGCGTTCACCACCACACCATGCAGGTCCTTTGTTTGGCCTGTCTCTGAGCTAGTTTTCTATCTACCAGTGTCATCAGCAATCACCCGTCAACGGGATTGATCTGGGTGCCCAGATTGGCAATGAACTCAGTTAAGCTGTGGCTGTAGTCGAAGTTACAATGTTAAGTTTTTTATTTGCTACCTACTACAATTTTTCACGGTAGGATATTATATGTGATACCGATGAACTTGATAACTTCACCGATAGTTCAGCGTTTTCAGCTTGGTCTTGTATGCGGTTGTGTTCTACGGTGAGCTTGTGAACAAATGGCGGCGGTTTAAAAAATTGTTTGGGGAATGGTGCCGTGGTGATATTGATATAGCCCAGGTAACTGTTGTATCTTGAAATTACTTAAAGTAGTAGTGACTACATGGCATAAAAAGAGAGCGGGTAGCGCAGTGGTAGTGATGCCGTTCATCAACGACTACAGTGCTGGTTCAACGCCAGGTCTACTATGCCTCTCATTCATCCTGTGTTGGAGACTTGATACCAGACTTGTCGAGGGCACTTACTGAAATCCAAGTGGGAATGGTCTAGCCTGGCTATACCCGAACTTTGTGGAGAGTCGACTTGAACATTATTGGACGAAAACGGCATGAAGAAGACGATCATCATCAATCGAAAAAAATCGAGTCATCAAGAAGTAGCTGGACTAACAGGAAAGAAGTTCGAAGATCTTCGTGGATGATGGGTGCAACGAAGCGAGGATCGAGAAAGAAGTGCTGGGATGCGCACAATGTTTGTGAAGACGGCTAGTGTAAAATTAAAAAGTGCAAAACTGTTGACACATAAGTATAGTTTAACGGATAGGTTAATGTTTTATATTTCGCAATTGAGTCTCGGGGCTCGTGTGGCGTAGTGGTTGGAAGCGCCCTGCAACACATACATGGGGTCCATCCCCGCGCTCATGGTCCACCAAGTTTTCCATCCCTCCGGAGTCGGCACATTGGTACCAGATTTATCTGGGAGGATAGCAGCACTGGCTTGATGCTTCGGTAGGCTACTGCGAGTCATTGCAAAGGCCATATATGAATTCTGACACATCTTAATGAAATTGAATCCATGGCGCATCCCTCAGGGATCGGTCAACACCGAGAGATTCTAATTGAATCTCTTATTCATACCAACTTTGTCGAACCTTTAAAAGGGAAAGTGGTGGTTTGTCTGATGTGGCTGTTCTTTAAGCTTAGTTTGGCGGTATTCTGTTCTAATCCATTCTTCAGCTCATTGAGCGTGCTGTAGAGCCTCCACCAGCACAACTGGACCTTGATTCAGTTCTTCATATGTGCAGTTGTAATCCAGGTACACTTTTCACTGATTTCGTCTATCTAACTATTTTTGTGAATGAAATCACACTATTTTCACTACGCTTTAGTGCAAATTCGTGAAGAGGTGTCACTTTTGTTGGAGGATTTGTATCTGAGACTTAAACGAAGCCTCTTCGCAGGCGTGTCAACAGCCTTTTTATCGATTTTTCTCCCGTGTGTATTTGTACCGGTTCGTGAATTTCTTTTTAGAAGTGTTTATGCAATTTTCCCTGCAGTTACTTTTCTTCCCTACTTACACTTTTTATTCAGTGACGGACATTTAATGGGCATCAAAAATCATGGTAATGGTTGAAAATGGCAGTAAATATTTGTGTGGAGTGTTTGCAGTAACTGCGGACTTAAAAACATTTCGTGTGCCGTCAGGCGATTTTCCGAATATTTTATTCAATTGTGCGTTGGGACGTGTAAGGCAATGGTAGTAAGGACATCTATGGTTTAAACTGCAAGCAATTTACGAACGCATACGCAAATCCGAAGTCCTTTCTGGATGACAGATGCGAAGTAACGAATAGAATATGAGAATTACAGGGATACACATAATCTGTGATGTGGGGTCGTATGGAAAATAATTGAAAAGAGAAATTGACAGCTCTTACTCCGAATATTCGGCTTTTAGTACATGTTTGCTTTATTTTGCCCTATTTTAAATTATCTGCTCTTTCACTGTTGGACACCCAGGAAACGTAGCTGACTCTTTATATCCATTAGTTTTTATTTGGAGACAATTTACTTTACTTGATAGGAATTTAATTCAGAGCCATCTAATTTAACCTACTTAATTGGGATTCGATTTAGATCTTAAGTTTGAGTGTATCGGAAAAATAGCAGCAATTACAAATGTTTAGTTCATTTCAGTACAAAACATCACTAGGTGTACCGCAGAAAGTACTTGTGGATGAAACATGGGAATCCGAGCTCTGTATTGTTGTGGCGTTCACTGCGTTCTCACTTTATATCACGTACTTAATGCCTCTGAATTATCTGGACTTATTGCACAGGTATTTTCTTGGTCTTTTTTTCCCCGTGTAACTCCGAATGACTAAATTCGCCGTCTTTTTTAAGAAAAAAATACTTATTTAAAATTTGAAACAGTGGAATTGGGAAAAATGTTTTCAAGTCGACATAGTTAGAAGAAGTAAATCTCGCCAGCACTTTAGATTCGATGGAGAATGTTTGGAGTAGGAAACCGAGGACATTTGGACTAGTTGTTGTTGTTATGGAGGCTTTAGTGGCGTCGTTTTCACTTCTGTGTCTGGCCTCTACGCCGAATGGACACGCATAGAGCTTTACCGCGTCGTATACGGCGCAGAGCGCATTGCGTAGAGAAACGTCCAGCAGGCGGTGAATCTTTGATTTCTCAGCAGGGCCTTCAATAAGACCCAGAGACCAATTTTTGGGAACCCTTGCTGGAGCAAGGGTTATAAGAATGTGGTACACGTCCTGGTGGGAATGTGCGATAAGTCTCCTACATTGTTACCCACACGCAACAAGGAATGGTTGAGTTCGTTTACGCCATTTCTCTGTGGAAAGATTACTTCCTAGAATTTGAGAGGAAAGAGTATTGGTAAGACGCAGAATCGAGATGTTGGACATTTCGCAGTTCCATGTCGTTGAAAAAATCACCGCTTTGGATTCGAATGGTTGGTTCTTTTTTTTGCAGAAAATCAATAGAGTATGCGGCATGAAGAATACGGCAGTATGTGTAGAGGTGAACGAATCTCGAATCTGTACCGAAACCTTGGTTTTAATATAGGATCTCCGTAAAACTCAAACAGTGGTGTAACATCTGCAATCTACCCACTTTTTCCAGTAAGGCGCAAGCACATTGTTGCGCTAACATTAAAGCCCTGTAGTTCAGAAATTGGTTTGAGGAAATCTGAGTGTACTATTGCCATTACATTTGCATGTTTCAAAACTGTTACTGTAGTCAATGTTAAGCACACAGACTATGTGCATTGTTTAGCATTAAATGGGGTGGAAAATAATTGTGGTCTTCAATTTTAACACTTCATGCATACCTCTGGAGCTTTGGACCATTACTGCTGTTCTTATATTTTAAAGATTTTTTTCTATCGCTTTTCTGCAGTGTTTTTCATGTTCAGACATAAGCTGGCGATTGCTTGCAACTCGTGCAACTCTTCATTAGTGTATTAGCTGAGCTATTGCTGAAGATTGCGAGCTCTCGGCTCTTTCAGCATTGATACGAAGATGTTGAATAAGGCTGTAGTATTCTTCACCGATGTTATCAATAGCCACTCATTCCCAAACACCGATAATTTATTGGATGTGATTAAATCGCCATTTCTGATGGTCCTCGGATTTTCCTCTCTTGAATTTTGCAGTTTTCCACTCATTTTTGCGGAAATAGGGTTCTTGAAGGTAAGAGGTAAAGTTCAGTTTCCGCGTAAAATTTTTGATGACGATGAACGTCGGTGCGACAAAACCTTTTGATTTACTGAATATTTTTTAGCGGTTTAATTCGCCGGTTTATTTTCTAGTGGGAAAATAAACGTACAGTGTAAATGTTATGGGTAGATGTTTAACATTTAGGAGTTGCAGTGTATTATTCTAAACACAAATATCTCCTTAACATATTTATTTCATTCTAATCACAATAAGTTAGTGTTTTCTTCTTGACCAGACAGGGGATTATCCATGACAAGATTTATTCATTACTGGCCGACATTTCGGCGGTTTAGCCTTCTTCAAAGCCTGCAAGCGTGAACTCCCAGTCTACGCAGTCAAACGCTTTCGTAACTCAAGCAGAAAATCTGGTCTCTATTTCAGCATTTTTTATACCTGCACACTCCATACGCTATTATTCATTATAACAATTACAGTTTTAATAGTGGGCGATTAGGATCGAAATTTCTGGCCAATAAACTCGTTCGAGAATCAGTTTGTTGTTTATTTCTAAGTGCAGAATAGAGTTTTTCCCCGAACAATTCTGAGCGCAATTATGTTCTGCAAGCTACCAATTGGTTACAGAAGGTAAGGAAAATAGTTCTGTGTTAAAATAAACCTTCGAAAATGAAGTGAGGCTTGTACGTGTCTCACCGACTACTTTCTCAAAACTATTATAACACCTCTAGGTGTCATTATCCGCGAGCGTGTTAATCAAAACGTAATGTTGCTTTGTGAGCTGTGCAACCATTGGATGGAACATTTTTTTTTCATTCTGCGACCTGTCTTTCAGTGGCACGAGAGGACTGTTTCAACAAAGATGTGGCATCACGAGGACGACTACGAGAAATATTTTTCCTCTGATGCACATCGGAATTAGTTTATGATAGAGGCAGTAAGTCTGACGCTTGCGATGAACACGCCTGTGTCTTAATTCTTAAGGCGCTTAGACGTTGGTCGCAGTTCTTTCCCTACTGTTCCCACTTTTAGTTGAATAATCTACTTATCTGGAGGAATGACTAATATGTGACATATGTAGCGTGTTTTAGATGGAGCCTATATATTTTCAAGATCCTAAGATGAGTAAACACACTTTAGAGGCACGCTGTTACTAATGTGATGATTCTTCATCTGTATTTTCTTAGCCGTAGCCCTTTTCCAGTGATAATTTGATCAGTTTTGAATAATTGGTTGTTTCTGTTTCCACTTTGAAATCCTGATAACTTTGTAATAGCACCTTTTTGTAACAGCAAAAGAACTTCTGAAGATTGATGCTTTTACATTTATTGAGCATTTTGGAGGATCATTTGATGCAGAACAACTCTGTTGAGTAATACAACCACAATATTGTTGAGATATTTGCAGAACTCCGGACCGCGGGTGTCTGCTGTGGGGAACGGACGCGCTATTCTCCTTTCCGGGGAGTAACGCGCTTACCACAACACCATGTGGGTCCTTCGTTTCGCCTGTCTCTCAACCAGTTCTATCTATTTCTGCCGTCAGCAATCACCCGTCAGCGGGATTGATCTGGATTGTGAGTTCAACTGCAGCCTCGGCTTAACTGGGTTCAATGCCGATGTGGGCTTGCTATCCCGCTGACGGGTGATTACTGATCGATAGAACTGGCTGAGAGACAGACGAAACGAAGGACTCGCATCGTGTGGTGGTGAGCACGTTACTCCCGGAAAGGACAATAGCTCGTTCGTTCCCCACCGCAGACCGCAGTCACCTGCAGTCCGGAGTCTTGCAAATATTTCAGCAATATTTCAACAATGTTGTAGTTGTATTTCGCTGAATACCCTGCCATAAAAATTATAGAAGGCAGAAAATAAAAAGTAAACAACTGCATAGTAAATCCTAACTTGTAAGCAATTCATCGCTAAGGGAACTATTTATTAAAGTGGTTGAAGTATATGGAAAATTCCGTCTTTTATAGCTTAACCAGCTTTATCTAATAGCCACTCAAAATGCTCAATGTATTGGGGACCTACACTTCTAGGACGAAATCTGGTACTTATTTGTTGTATCGTATTTAAACTACTAAATGTGGTTCGTTACAGGAGCGCTGTACATCTGGGAACGTGGGATCAGATCGAGGGTCCAAAGATTGGCCAGACTGGCCAAACGAAGTAAGTATCTCTTCAAAAAAAAATCTCGTTTGAGAAATATGTGACTAGATGGAATTCTGTGGAAGGCGAGATTAATTGTAATAGACATCAAGCAATATCAGCTGTAGATTTTCATCAACTGTTTTCATTAAGTATTGTTTTGTCTTCTGGAGTCGAATATTTGCTTGCGAAAATTGAATTATGACTAAGTTTAACAAGCGTTTCAGTTGGGCACCGTCACCCTGGGTGGCTCAATGTCTATATTCCGATGGCGAGACTGTGCAAATGCCCGATGGTCGGTGCTACAGGGCCCGTGGATCTGCAGTGTTGAGAACAGTGGCTGCTGAACCAGGATGTCCGGATCATGACAAGTTCTTTGTACGTTTCCTTCATAAAGTTCTGTTGATTATTTTGAGTACCAAAGTTTTAAAAGTTTCGTTATTGATTTTTCGTGAGTTTGACTTTTCAATAACCAACTTTTGTGCCTTTATGGCGGTCTTATAATCCCTCATTTATAAGTCCATCAATTTCTGAACCCTTTCTTTTCTTTCTGAGTCATTTCTTTCGTTTTTTTTTCATTTCCGAATCTATTGAAATTATCGAGGAATTATCGGCAGTTGAGGAAGAACCAATATTATGCTCGTGTCGGGAGAGCTTCCTAAAGTAGCAATTTTTTTCATAGAATTTATAGAGTGATAGCAAGAGCGCCACTGAAAATGGACCGTTATGTAGCTTGCATAGATACCGAACTTTAAGCAAAATTTCCTATCCTTCCACTTGCTTAATGCTTATGTGCTTGTTGATTTTTCTTCGGATTCTATTTTTCCACATTTGAATCTATTCGTACCATACAAGAACATATTTTGTAGAATTTTAGAGCAGTGATATAAAATCACATGGCTAAAGCTTAAAAGTACGGTAGTTTCGAAATGGATTGCGGAGAAGAACCAGCATAGTTTATGGGTGTCTGCTCTGTGCTCGACGACTACGAGAAGAGGGATTCAGCTTGTGTCCGACTTTTACTTGCAGCCAACCTTAAGTGCTTTACCGACAGCGACACCAATCGCTTGATCTTTTCTGATGTTTCCAATGTGCTGACAAACTCGTGTTTTCACCGAAAGGTGAGCAGACGCAATTAAGTGGGAGTACTCATCTATCACTGAAAAACACCTTCACTCGATAGGCTATCGCGGAAATACCGTTCGGTCGAGCATAACCATGGCTAGTAAGTATACTTGATTCTCGGCCGCTCTAACCCTACAACACTTATTGAAGGAGGTGGTAACTTAGTATGGGAAAACCGACTCCGCTATGGAAACAACATGCAACAGCCCTCCTGTATCAGCAGTAAAGGAAAAGCGATAAAAATGATCGAGAATTCTTTTGTCCATGACAACATTCTACCAGACGTCGCAAATTGTTCCGCCGAAAATTGGAGGACTTGCACTGCTCTCCCGTATCTCATCCGTCGCACAACCGATATATAAATCCCTTATTTAGTATTTGATTTAGGCCAAGAAGTATCACATGCATGACAAGAAACTCGGTGACAACAACCTTAATGTACCCTCTTGACTTCTTCATGTTGTTACTTTTGTTTTGAACGAAAAACGAACAAACAAAAGCCGGAGTTCACTAAAGTCAATGGTGTACTATTCTTGAAAATAACGGGGAATATTTTGTTGACCAGAGCTGTTTCCTGAGTCAATAAATTTGAAATAAGAATATAATTTAAATTGGCACAGATTTCTTCCGCAGCCTAAGAGTTTTTCTTTTGAACAGCATCTAACTTCCTTTGGATTCATCTTTATGTTTTAGTGAAGTTACGAGCCGTTTTTTGGCCCAAAATTGTGGAAAGTGCAGAGATGACTGCCATTGGTGATATTCTAATATGACAAGGTGTTTCCTTTCTTTCAGATGCTTTGTGGTCGTCCATGCACCATCATTAACGGAATGTGCATTTTTGAAGGTGCTCTGATTGTCACACAGTTCTGGATGCTGGTGTTGACAATCGATTGGCAACATATTGTCACCTTGGTGTTACTGATGTTCGCCAATTACCTGCTACTTGCGAAATTGTTCAAGGATAGGGTTAGTTCATGAATTTTTGAAGTGGAGAGAAAGAGATGGAATTCGCGTTACCGTCTGATCCTTCAAAACCGCTAGGTTTGCTGTTGTATTTTTTGTCTTTAAAGTGAACTAAAGTGCTGAGTCAATGATGAAATCAGTTAACTTTTGCAAATGAATTTGGAGGCAGTTTATACATTTTGAAAAGTTCTGGTGGAGAATGTGTTTTTATTGAGTCAACGACTTGTGCGCATTTCATTCTGCTTCTCTTTTTTGGTAATTTTATGAAAACTCTACACAGCCGTAATGATGCTGGAATGTTTACAAAACTCCGAACCGCTGGTGTCTACAGTGGGGAACAAATGAGCTATTATCCTTTCCGAGAACTAACTCGTTCACACCGCACCATGCAGGTTCTTCGTTTCACCTGTCTCTCAGCTAGTTTTCTATCTACCAATGCCATCAGTAATCACCTGAACTAGTACTGTGCCGTGAAAAATTGTAGGAGGCAGCAAATATAAAGTTAACATTGCGCTTTCAATTCTAGGTAGTGTTTTAGAAAAGGTGCTGACAGTTTCATCAGGGAACTGTTTGCCGTTTTTGATAGATTTGATTTGTACTTATGGGCTGATTGTGTAACAGTAATTCATGAAGATAATTCGTTGAAATCTCAACATATGCCAAGCATCACCTTATAGTGAAGCCACCATCAAATGGAGTTTGTACATTTCATTTTCTTCACTACACAATACCGCATAATCATTTCTGGGGAAGGTTATTCTAGGGAATCCATTTTTTCAGGATGTCTGGTATTTGACCGGTACCTTTAGTCCAGTATTTTTTTTGTTGATTTCTTTCTAAGTTTTTGGTTCTCATTTTTAATACTCACGATGATGTATAGATACTGATCAAGATAATAGTGAGGTTAATGGAACCTCTAGCGAAACAACTGGTAATTTTTTCGGAGGGACAGTTAGCGGGTTTTTGAGTGCTCACTAAAATATTTTTGTTTGAACATGTGCAAATGGGAAAACCAACACAACTTCCTGGATCATCCAATAGATTAACTTAGCTATTTTGTTGAGATATTTGCAAAACTCTAGACCACAGGTGTCTAAGGTGGGGAACGAAAGCGCTATTGTCCTTTCCGGCGAGTAACGCGTTCACCACCACACCATGCGGGTCCTTCGTTTCGCCTGTCCCTCAGGCGAAACAGAGACCTCTGAGCGACACGCGAAACGAAGGACGCGCATGTTGTAGTGGTGAACACGTTACTCCTTGGAAAGGACAATAGCGTTCCCCACCGCAGACACCTGCGGTCCGGAGTTTTGCAAATATATCAGCGACATTGTAGTTGTATTTTGCTTAGGATCCTGCGGTGAAAATTGTAGTAGGCGGAAAGTAAAAAGTAAAAAATTTAGTTGTTTTGGTTTGAATGAGTCGCTTTTATCTCTAGATGACATTGACTTTACTTTCAGGTTATTCTCGGTCGAATCTATGAGCCTTCACCGGAAGATTTGGCGCTAATACAGCAAATTCAACAAGAAAATCGGATCTCTCAGTAACTTGTAGATATGCCGATTGGGAGTTACAGTATAAGGCGTGTTTGCCTTTTTTGCCTTTTATTCTTTCACGGACTTCCTGTTTCGCTGTATTTTAAAATCCAGTGCTATTATTTGTATATTTTCGTATATTGTGCACAATGAAACGATGCTGAGAGAGAACTGTGATATCTTTTATGATGGAGATTTGGATTGTGTAAATAAATTCTTGAAAGATGTCGAGTTATCAATGAGAAGTAAAGTAGTTCCATACTTCTATGTGCAGGTGTTCCTTTCCTGTTCTCATCTTCAATTCCTCTCTATAACGAATACGTTTAGTTCTTTGTGACCTAAGAAGAGTGAGACTCATTCCAGAGATTTTTCCATGGCAGGAAGCTGAATCTATTGTGTCCTGATTACTTAATGGAATCCACACCGCCGCCTTTGTCATGGATCGCACATCCTGTTCGTGTTAATTTGGTTGTTGGAGCACGTGAGACATCAGTAGATGGAAATCTCTATACCGTCGATCCAGTGACAGGAAGCTTGGTATTGGTGCAATTTCAGGATAAAAGTATGTTTCATGTTAATGCATTTACATATTTCCTCTTTGGTTTTGACGCCATCGTTTTGAAAAGTATTGACCTCGTTTGTATTTCACTAAATCATGAACTCACTGCGGTTACCACATTCGCTATCGTATAGGTGATTTATTTCATTCACATAATTTGTTTTACCCAGCAGGAATTCTTCGTATACGTTTTGAACCCAGCGGCTCGCTTCCCTAAGAAGCTTGTTGTTCTGGACATTGTCCTAAGTATCTCACTGAAGAGGTCGTTATTTGTTCGGAGAGAATCTACCCCCTATGAATAAGAACAGCGCGACTGCGGGAAACCTAAGCGTAGTCCTGAGGCCGCCACCGAAATTTAGGGCTTATCGCGAAGTTGTTAGGGGTAATCCTTGAGGACGACTGGATCATATTTTAGTGAGTATCTACCTTATGGTTTCCAAATTGAATCTGACCAACATGTCACTTTTTTGGCATGATGAAAGCATTTGTTGTCAACTTGCCAGTTTCACCAATTTGGCTGATTGAGATGGGAGTGTAATTAGTGGTTGTGCTACCTTGCGCTTGGTACTAAATTTTCCTTACATTGTTCAGTGAAATGCTTGGTCGAATAATTTTACTACTGCAGAAAGGTGTCAGTTTTCATGTAGGAAGCCAATTTCGTGGTTACACTGGTTTTCCTGCAAGATGGCAGTGGTCAGCTAACTTAGGAAGCAAGCTGAATTATGAATTACAGATCCGTGCAAGGTTATCTGGATACCTCGTGAAGGTTACGTCTCTGCAATTCTGCTCGAAGACCCGTCACAACACTGTGAACAATACAGCGTTGAATTGGCGGACATGATGGCAAGCATGTTCGGCATGAGGAAAGCGGACGATACTGATATTGCAGAACTGGAAAAGAGGTTCCGATGGACGTTTTTTTCTCTGGTTTATACGAAATCATATCTTTTCTAATGTACCTTTCTTCATTAGAAAGGTGCAGTTTTGCAGAATTGTTCAACCATTAGGAATGACGTGGTAGCCGGCCTGCTTATCACGTCATATTTCCTTATGTTTGAATATATCAGGAATTCACAATGTTGACTTTTTTTACTGCCTTTTACTAGTTTTCACGACAGGGTATTATTTGTGAAACAACCACATTGATGTTGAGATATTTGCAAAACTCCGGATTGCAGGTGTCTGTGATGGGAAACGAACGCGCTGTTGTCCTTTCCGTGGAGTAACGCGCTCACCACCACACCATGCGGGTCCCTCGCTTTGCCTGTCTCTCAGCTAGTTCTATCGAACACTGCCGTCAGCAATCACCCGTCAGCGGGATTGATCTGGGGAGCCCAAATCGACATTGAACCCAGTTAAACTGAAGCTGTATTTGAAGTTAACAATGTTGACTTTGGCAAAACGAAGGACCCGCATGGTGTTCTGGTGAGCGCGTTAATCCCGGTAAGGGACAATAGCGCGTTCGTTCCCCACTGTAGACACCTATGGTCCGAAATTTTACTAATATCTCAGCATCATTGTCGTTGTTTCACAATATCAGGAATATTATGCGATTATTAGTGAAATAGGGAACTTCTCTATGACGCGCCATTGCTACCGTTCCTATCGCTAACCAGTGCTGCTCACTAGAGTTCGATTGTTCAAAGGATACGAAAAACGCTTCGTTGTGACATAGGTTTAGTTTTAGGTGCTCCCATATGGAAATTTCGAACTCATCGGAACCGTGAATTTGCGGTTAAATGAAACCTCGATGTGCGTAGAAATTCTAGACGCAGAGCATACAAGAGCCGTTATGAGGCGACGACCATTGGGGGATTTCCGTGCATCAGTGTATCAAGGTACTATGGGATGAATCTTATCGAAAGTAGACCTATGGATAGGTTACGACATCTCTGAATCTGCAGTTGAACTCTAAAATGGACCAATGCGGCAAAATAATAGGAAAAGTGCTGACTTCTCTCCGATAATGAGATGTAAAGATGACTTTAGAGTAGATTTCTTCTTGTGTTATCATTACATAGTAAAACATTGATGATATTTAACCTGTTGGAGAAAATTCGATTTAATTAGTCGCAGAAATCGTTACCTACAAAGCAATTGCTGCAATTTCAAAGTAACCCTAGCTAGAGAGCAGCAAAGTTCAAACCGATCGACGAAATGCTCTACTTTCTTGTATCAAATCGCCGTCGAACTCATTCATGAATACAACGACGTTCGATAGTGGATGCAAGACGAGAAATTTACCAAGATTTAACGGTATCATTTTGTGTATCTAACGCAATCATTAATAGCAAATGTCAACCTTAAATATGTCTACCACACTTGATGAAGTCAAATGAGTGAGGCATTCTAACGCCAATCTCTTTATCCTTTATCCTCCTTCACATGTTCTGTATGCTTTAAGAACTTAAGAAGGTGGAATTGGAGAAGTGCGACATCTTGAAAGCGAGCGTACCCGATTAGAAAGGAATCCCTATCCAAGCGCACTCAACGTGAAATAAGTTAGATTTTCAGTGTACGTATAGGTGTTATGGCCCCTTGTTGTCACTTTAAATGCTGTCGTTTTGTAATGTCACCAAATTTCAACACACGAGGCGAGTAGAGCTCTGTTTTCATTGCGGTAATTCTTTTTCGAAAGGATCTCATAACACCCTAGCGAAAGTGCCCCGTGTAGTCTGGCAATTACTTCGATGTTCCTCTTATGAAACTTTACCGTATTATCCAAGGCGATAGGGCGGTATCTTATGCTTAGGAAGGACGAAAAATGGTCTTATAGAAGCCTGAGATCCGTGTAAATCGAGAAGTTGGGCGACAAACGTTGAGCAAAGTTCGGAAGAGTTTCGTGTAGGAAAGCCTTTAGCTAGTTTAACACATGTTCTCGTGGCAGGAAGTCTTCCTAAGACAAGAATAGAACGGGCTTAATA